AAAATTTTGGTAAATCTGGTCACATAGAAGGTTAGTATATAAAATGCTGCGATAGGTTTGCAAGGTGACAGATGATGACTAGAATTTGTGGGGTGATCACATTGTGAGGTGTAGAAATGTCAAATCACTATATGGTACAACTAAAACTAATATAACCAGTGTAATATTGCATACCAAGTTAAACAAAATTTTTTTAAAAAATCGATTACTTTCTTACATCATCAATGCTAGCTAGGAAATGTAACTTTTTAAAAATCCCATTAAAAAAGCAAGAAAACTATAAAATTCCTGGAAATAAACAAGACACATAAAAGCCCGTAATAGAGAAAAATTTAGTGCCCCTAAAGGATGTTAACAGACTTGAATAAACGAGGACCTAACATGTTTGTTTACTGGCTACAAAAACTAAGTATGGTACAGAATTCAGCTGTCCCTCAATTATATCTGTTTAGAGCAATCCCATCAAAATCCCCCAAATTTTTTTTGTCATGACAAAATTGATGTTTAAGTATATCCAGAAGACTATGCGTAAGAGATGAGCCAGTATAATTCTGAAAGTGCATAATAAATAGTTTAGCCGGATATCAAAATTTACCATAAAACTACGGATGAGTTTTCTATGGCTATTTAACAAATTACCACAAACTTAGCAGCTTCAAACATCCATTTAGTTTACAGTTCTGTCGGTCATAAGTCGGGCAGGTGTCAATAGGTCCTCTGCTCAAGACTGCAATCACGGTGTTAGCTGGCTGAATTCTTATCTAGAGGACCTAGGGGAAAATCTGCTTCAAAAATCATTGTCAGAATTCAGTTCCTTATAGATGTGCGACTGAGGTCCCGCTTTTCCTGCTGGCTATTGGCCTGGGGTAGGTCTCAGCCACTCAGACTTCTGATACATCACTCCTCCATCTTCAGTAATGGAAACTTTCCCACCAGTGAAATCCTTCTCATGCTTCAAATCTTCTGGAGAAAACTCTCAGATTTTAAAGGGTTCATGTGATTAAGGTTAGGGTTACTGAGATCATTTCTTTCTTAAATCCAACTGTACCATATAATTATAGTCATAATTATACTATAAATAATATATCATGGAGGAAAATTCATCATCTTCAGTTATGAGGATCAGGGTAGGAAATCTCAGGGGCCTTCTAAGAATTCTGCCTACCGCATTATGGTAATAAGCAGTGTGGTCCTGTACTAGAATACATTAATTCCATCAGAAGAGAAATAGGACCATTTTTAGAATGTGGAATGTAGCATAAGCTAAAAATAGGTCTTCAAATCTATAGAGAAAATATGGATTAATACTTTGGGGACATAGGAACATCAATTTGGGGAGAAAGTATATTCCTGCATCTAACCATATACCAAGTCTAGATGGATTAAAATTTTAAATGTATAAAATTAAAATGATAAAAGTACTATAAGAAAATATGAGTAACTTATAATCTCGGGATGGAAGAAAAACATTGAGATAAAACTCAAACTAAAGAGATTTTGATTACATAAAAATAAACACCTGAGCAGCAAACAATGAAGCTAAAATATAAATGACAAATTATAAAATTATTTGAACACAAATAGAAAAAAAACATTATCATCCTTAATATGTAGAGAGTTCTTTTAAAATAAAAAAGCAGTAATTAGAAAAACATCCCACAAGAATGATCAAAGGACATGAATAGAAATTCTCAAGGAAACAAATGCAGACAATAAACAAAAAAGTAGTTCAGGCTCACTAACACTCCTCGCCCCCCCCCAAAAAAAGTAAATTAAACAATATAACATTTTCACCTATCGGACTGTCAAAAATTTAAATGACTGGTAACCTCTATGTTGGCAAGCTTGCCAACCACACATTGCTGATAAGATTGTAAATAGGTGCAACTTTCCTGGAAGACAATCTGACAATCTATAATAAAAAGTAAAATTATTCTCTTATATAGCAGTTCCACTTCTAGGACATTTTATCACTCAAATAAGAATGTCTATACATGTATGCTCAATGTTTAAGGGGGAAAATATAAAAAGCTAAATATCTACCATTAGGAAATGAAATAAATTATCTATACATTAAAATTCAGCAGACAATACAACACCTCTATACATATGAAAAGTAGTCTGTGGAGTGAAAGGTCCAAAGAATATGAGTAGTTTACTTTAAAATCCATTTAAAAACAACTCAAACTATACATGAAATTGACAGTAGTCATTATTTCTGGGGTGTGGAATTGTCACATGGATATGTCCCAGCAGGGAGGGCTGGGAGCAATGACTTGGAGGGTAGGGAGATACTTTTTGAACTTTTTTAAAAAATGAATACATATTAACTTTGTAATGCAAAATATCTTCTTTTCAGAAGAAAAATGTCCAAAGATGATCCTTGAGGTAAATGTATAAAGCAAGTAAGATATTCAATTTTGACCATTTGGAAGTTTCCATCTAAGTTCTCACTGCCACACTGATGGGATAAAAATACTTGAAAACCACGTCACAATGCATTTACTGAAATACGTGTGAAAAGGTTAAGAATATCACATCTGAGGCGAAGTGATACCATTGGAAACTGTGGTCTTCCTTTTATCAATTTAAAAGTATCTTGATGCTTTCACTGCACAAAGGGTCCCCGGCTAAATAGATATAAAGCATAATCCCAGCCCTCAGGAAACAGGACGTATTAGTCAAGACAAATGTTTTATAAAGAGGCAAACAGTTTGAAACAATAATGCTGTGCTACGAGTAAAAATAAAAAAATCTAATAAAAACATATATTATGATCATGAAGCATGCACTTTTAGCCCACTTTAGTCTGAAAAACTTTATGTATAAGATAGTGTCTGAAACGGTTTTCTCCATTAGGTATTTCTCAGGCTCTGCCCCAGAAGGCCACATCGTCCCTTCTCTAAGAGTCAAAATACTGCTCATCCAGCAACCAGCTCGAACATTACCCTTTGCCTCAACCTGCAAAAAAGGGATTATTCATGACCATTTCCACACTTAATTCACGCCTTTTGAACTTACTTACACTTTGTTGTATATCTCACAAACAAAATTATAAGTGCTTTGAGAGTGGTAACCAGTTAAGTCATTTACTTCAAATGACTGAGGTGCCTTGCAAAGTTGGGGGGTAAGCAGTTAGTCTCTGCTGGAGGATTTTAATGAGCAAATTCTGAGAGAAGATAAAACTAAGTTAGTATATAGCACGTGACAAATGTTTTGAAGAGTATATGGAGGATATTATCAGAGGTTTTGTATCAGATAAAAAACAAAAGGTCACTGTAGTCTAGGGAAGGCAAATGATTAGATCTGCTTTTTCAAAGCTACTCACACTATGAAAAAGCATAAATAAATCTGGTTTCAAGTTTAGCATGCTTTTTCTTCAGATGAAAATTATTTTAAAATAAATCATGATTGATAGAAACACCAACTGAAAAGATACAAACAATATGTGGGAATTTGCTTATTTTACTAAGCCACAGTGTATTTTTTCATGAATAGCATAAATTTGACAGCTTCTCTGGTATTTATAAAGAGTGAATTATTTCACTAAAAATTAATTTCGTATATTAAGTCAGACATGATTATAATTATGTATTCAAATTAAAAATTCATAAGGAAGCATTTAAAAGAAAAATGTGAGCCTCATATACAATTTTTAATCTTTTAGTAAAAAACAAAACTGGAAAAAGCTGAATTTTAACATTTTATTTAATCCACTATACAAAAAATATAAATTCACCAATATACAAAATTGAGATATTTTACATTCCTTCTTTGTACACCTTCAAAATCCAGTGTGTATTTTATACTGACGCCACATCTCATTTTGGACTAGCCACATTTCAAAGGCTCAATACCCACATTGAGACTAAACTACATGGAAAGACACTGGCCTGCACCTTTCCACTGCCTGGCAAGTCTACTTGCTGATAAACACTGCAAACTCTACATTCTATCATTATAGTCAGATCGAGATATACTACTAGCAGAATTCATACATTAACAAAAATTAAACAAAAATGAAACAATTTATTTATGAAATTACATAAATGGCAACAAAAATGGCTGCCATGTGGAGACCAATTTACAGATTCATCCATTTATAGTTACTAACACAATTAACAGTAAGTGGATAATCTTTTTCCTTGTAGTACTTACCACAATTACTAGTTTTCTGTATGTTCTTACTTATAGAGTGTGTCTATGTGTGCGCGCGCATGTTTCTCCTCCTGACATTCCACGAGGGAAAGAACTACATCTACTTTCCTTGCCGTTATATCCCTGGACCTTAGTAGAATGTGTTACACACAGCAGATGGTCAAATATCTGGTAAATGAGTGAATATTGCTGTGTATTATCAGCCTGAACCAGCTCATCATTTCATTACTCAGTTTTCCAATAGTTAAGACATATTCCACATTTTGTCAGGGAAAGCAGTGAAGAGCAGTTTTCTCTTCAGAACAATTTCTAGTAGCCTAACCGAATTATTAAAAATTGAGAAATTCCCCACTAATCAGAATCACATTTATCCTGTCTTCATCAGATCCTCTTCCTCCAACACACAGCAAGAAAGCAGAACTGTTGAGGTACAAATGAACAAGTACAAGACAAAGGCCCTCTCCAATGACCTCTTAAACTTAGAGAAAAAACAACAACAACAACAACACTACACATACACCTGGAAAGAAAGAATGGTGAATATTGTTTCCTAACACACAGTCAGTGGTGACATAGTTCTTAAGAGGTCTGGGAACTTCAGAAGCTCCTTTGCAAACCAGTCTAAATTAAATAACAAAAATACTGTAGTAGCCATGATAAAGGAGAATCTGAAACTGGTAAATACCTTGAATTAAAAAAAAAAAAAAGAAAAGAAAAAAAGTGAAACAAAATGGCTTGTTAATTTCACAAAAAAAAGGTGAAACTTATTTTTTTTCAAAAGCAACAAACCAAAAGCCCAAGCTCAAATTCATTCTTTAGTAATATAACACTGCATTATAAAATCCTTTTGCTAGTCTTGAGATGATAGAAATAATTTTATTTAGAATGTAAAAACTGGAAGAATCCAAGATTTGGAAGTCAGAGCAGCTCTTATCTTTTCATTCTGCATACAATAAAATGGCACTTTAATAATACTGGCATTTCCTAAATTAATGATCAGTTCTGTAATTTTAGTACCAAAAACTCAACTCCTAAACAAGTGTTTCTTGTTTTGAAAACTACTAGAATACACAAGCACTTTGTATCATTCGAACATTTATTCGTTTACTGTGAATAAACCAATCTTTTAAAAACTACATCATATTTACACTACACTAAGGAAAATTACTTTTTCCTTTTCTTTTTAGGTGACTGTTCCAAAAGTGGGGTAAATTCAGCCTCCTCACTGTGCTTTCTTTTCTTTTTCTTCTTTTTATGGTCACTTTGGTAACCACTGGAGTCACTGCCTTGGAAAACAGGGTCCTGGCCCTGATCTTCCTGCTGCTGCTGCTTCTTCTTCTTCTTCTTCTTTGGCTCTTCCTCCCACAGGCCATTCATATCATTATTAACCTGCAGGTCTGTCTCTTCCTTCATGGTGACATCTGCAAAATCTGTTAGCTCTGTGGTACCGCTTTCCACTTCATATGGCTCTGGGTCTTTCTTCTTTTTCTTTTTCTTCTTTGGAGGTTTTTCAACATCTTCTTCAGTGCCAATTTCTGTTACCTCTTCAGAAACTGCAGAGCACTTGGTTTGTAAACTATAAATTAAGTTTAAAGAATGTACAGAGCGATAAGCGCAAATGAAAGAACAAAATGAGATCAAGAATATCTCGACATGCAAAGATGTTTCTAAAAAACGACAGCAGCACAAGATATGTAACTATGGCATAAATTTCAAATATTCTTTCCTAATATCCCTCAGCCCATTGAAATGTCTTGGAAATGTTAAAATTACTGTTTCCAAAGTTTTCCTCCCAAACTGTTTTCACACAGAAAAAGGTTATCAAGATATGGCTTCTAAATTTTGGTTTTGTTCAGAAATTTTGGATGCTGAACATTAAATATCACAATACCCAGGTTTTTTAGCCAAACCACTGACATATATGATAGAGAGAAAATATACTTCTGGTAGTGATCAAATGGGATTTCCTGTCTACTACCTCAATCCTTGTTTCGAAGAATAGTTCACTGTTATTCTTAACCTATGCTGAAGCAGTATTACTTAACGGCTGTGAATTATTTTATATCACTAAAATAAAAACAAGGATCAATGAAATAGCCCTCTTTCTAGAAATGTACAATCCTATACAATAGCACGTCACATATTAACTATTTATATTTAAATAACCTCAATGAGATAACTTTAAAAATTCAGTTCCTCGGTCACACTAGTTACATTTCAAGTGCTCAATAGCAAAGCTACTGAATTACACAAAATACAATTTCCATCATCACAGAAAGTTCTATTAGACAGCTACTCTAGAACTTTAACCCCTACTCGCTACTTATCAAGGCAGAATCTATAAGAATTAACACCAGCAGTATTCCAACAGTTTTATTTTAATTACCCCCATTACAGTTGGTTCCTATGGAACTAAGCTCAAGAGCAGAGTAATTCTTATAAGAATTTCAATACAGAAAAACACAAATTAAATTATCTACCTGGCATAATAATAATAATCAAAAAAATATTTTTTGTTTCAACTGTGTAAAAATAAAAGCAGGCTAAAGGTTATGCAATATAATTAAATTTTTAGTAGTTTCAAGCTTAGGGATCAACCATTTAAAACATTAATAACAAACCAGAAAATACTCAGCAAAATTGAGTTATTAAAATACAAACCAGTTAGCCAGATGTAGATCTTTAGAATACTTAATGCATTGTCATAGCACTTAAGATTCCTATTAACACTGACTTTATGGTTTGAAAGTATGAACATTAAATAAACAAAACTAATTTTTTCAAAGAGAAGATTATGTTCTCTAAATTCAGAATCAAATAGAAATGATTAAGTATCAAAATAATAAAAATGTGATTAGGAACTGACCTAGTGATATTTACTTTTCCTCGAATGCAGAATACTCCAGCAGAATCTGAATCTAAACGAAATACTTCAAACTCTAGTTCATCGCCCACGTTTATCTCCAGGGTCTGCCACTGCTCAGCTGGCATCTGTTCAGGTTTAGGGATGGAGGCATTGAAACACCCATGTACTAAACAGCCAATGTGGCTAGAAGACACTTTATTAACTGTACCCTGAGAGGAAGAAAAGAATATAACATCAGGAAGAGATCCAAAGAGTTAAAAGGTGAATCAAACTTTGTAAGCTTCAAACAGACCTTCAAAGAGAAAACATCAAAACAATGGTATAATTTGATATGGAAAACGTTTATCTCAATTGAATCTTACCACGTGTTATACTAAAACATCATTTTAGAACACTTTAGAACTTTTAGAAAGTTCAAACTTTATTAAATAAGTAATTGCATTTCAATCACCTAACTGGATAAACAATTACCCTCCCCTCCACTTTCCAAAAAACTCACCTTAGCTTCCATTGCAAAATTCCAAGGGCAGTAGATTAGTCTAAAACTATATTGAAACCAAGCAGAAATTACTCTTTGATATGACCTACATGTGAAAAGACCTCAAGGCAGGAAGCATATGCTTTTAATAACTAGGATCCACATTGTAGTTTTATAAACAGTCTGAATTTCAAAGCTTTCAGAGCATTCTTTCACGATTAAGTATAGCATGATGTAAGCAGTCCTATTAGAAGGCAGCTTACTCTTCATATGTAAATCTTGAGCAGGGCTATTGTGACTAAATCACAAAAACATTATTAGAAGCTTTAAAACTAAAAGTATGTGCTATATAATTTTAAGTGTAAAATGAAAATTTACAAAAAACTCAGTATTCTATTCTTCCCTTAGGAATCAACATAGATAAGGTATATAAAAACCTGAAATATTTTTTAAAAATCACATATTCTGAATTTTAGAACTATAAATATTATAACATGTTTACAATCCTGTTTAATGTCAGCAACTTCTTATGCATATGACGAATAAAACTTCCTTGTCTGTCATTATCAGGAGACTGGGGTCTATGATGTACCTTCTGGATGGTATGGACAAACTATGATACATCTATATAATGGAATATTATTCAGCAATAAAAAGAAATGAGCTATCAACCAATGAAAAGTCATGGAGGAATCTTAAATGCACACTGGTAAGTGAAAGAGGGACAATCTGAAGAAAAGGCTGTATACCAGATGATTCCAACTATATGACGTTCTGACAAAGGCAAAACTATGGAGACAGTAAAAAGATCCTTAGTGCCAGAGTTTCAAGGGGATGGAGGGAGGGATGAATAGGTGGAGCACAGAGGATTTTTAGGGCAATGAGCAAGCATTCTACAGGATACTGTAATTGTGAATACATGATATTTATACATTTGTCAAAACCCAAAGAATGTACAACGAAAAGAGTTAACTCTAACGGTAAACTATAGAATTTACTTAATAATAATGTATCGATACTGGCTCGACAAGTAAAACAAATGGACCACACTAACACAAGATGGTTTCAATAATAGGAGAAACAACACGTGTTTGTGGTGTGTTGGGAAGGCAGTGATGAAAGGTATATGAAAATACTCTACTTTCCATTCGATTTTTCTATAAATCTAAAACTGCTGTAAAAAATAAAGCCTATCAATTTAAAAAAAATGTTCAATGGGGAAAGGAAAGTCTTTTCAAACATATGGGTCTGAACACCTGAACAGCTAATGACAATAGCAGCTAATGGACATTAGCTAATGGATCTGAAGGGCTTATCTCACATTATACACAAAAATTTCAGTTTGATCACAGACCTAAATAGAAAAGCTAAAACTACAAAAATTCGAGAAGCTTATAGCAGAATACCTTTACAACCTAGGGGGTAGGTGAGTTTCTTAGATAGGATCCAGGAAGCAATAACCATAAAAGTATAATATGGTTAATAGGACCTCATCAAAATTAAAAGCTTCAGTTCATCAAATGATACCATTAAAAGTTAAAAGAAAAGACACAGACCGGGAGAAAATATTTACAATACATTTATCTAAAAAGGATTTGTATTAAGACTATGAAAGAACTATTACACCTCAATAATGACAATACAAAAACCCAATTAAAAATGGGCAATATACTTGAGCAGGCCCTTCTTATTAAAACATATGAAAAGGAGCTCATGAGGAAGTATCAAAAAAAAAAAAAAAACCATAATGAGTAGCTATTATATGCCCACCAATAAAATTAAAAGACTGATGACATCAAATGATTACAAAAATGCAAAGCACCTGCAAGTGCTAAATGGGAAGTTAGCCTGTTTTTTGTACAGTTAAACACACATCTATCCCGGTACTTAGCAATACTGCTTCTAGTTTTTTACCTAGGAGAAATAAAAATGTACAACAGCTTTATATAATAGCTCCAGACTGTTTAAACCAAAATCCATCACTGAACTCAGATAAACTGTGATATATTCAAATAACTGGATATCATGAGCAATAAAAAGGAGCTAACCAATACATGCAACAGCATGGATAAAACTCAAAAACATGCTGAGCAAAAGAGGACAGATTTGAGAGTGTATAATGAAAAATTCCATTCATATGGAATTACAGAACAAACAAAACTAATTTATGATAAACAAAATCAGAACAGTGGTTGTGTCTAGGATAGAGTGAGGTTTGACCAGGAAAAGGAATGAGGGTAACCTCTAAGGAGACAGAATAACCTTGTCAAAATTCACTGAAGTGCACATTATGATCTAAGCATTTTATTGTATGTAAATTATATCTCATTATTAAAAATAAAAATGGGGGAAAATGGACTGGTCAAATGTATTTAAGAACTGGAATTTTAAAGTGCAGATCTACTGCCAACTTTAACATTATGAAGGCTGGTTGTAGGATCCTATTTTGGCAGTGCAAGGATGCTATATCTACTGGTTTAATTGATAATTGAAAAAAAATTTTTTAATTAGAAATGCCTGATAGATTTTGTCATAGTAAAATCTGACCAATATTTCTATTGACAGTATCAAGAGTTAGTCAATAGTTATTATTTAAGTAATTCCTATAAAAATTTTCAGTTACAGAAAAAATCTCTATATACATATGAATATGTATACAGACACACACACACACAAATGAACATAGACTTACAGAGAACTCCTGGTGAGAGAGAGGGGCAAGTGACAAAGATACAGATTTCACATCAATTTCTGCATTTTGAGCTTCTCTTGAAAAGCCAAAAGACCTTCACCACAGGGCCTTTATTCTCATAGCATAGGCTGAGTACCCTGACCCCCCATCCTTGATTCATTTTCATTATCCTTCCTGGTCCCACGACCATCTGAATTTGCTCTCCTTTTTTATTTACTGCTATAAAAGTCTGGCTCTTTCATAAAGAAACTGTATTTTTGTATAATTGAGAAATTATAAAATAATAAAAACTGATATTTTACAACTTAAGCTCATTCTGGTGCTAAACAAAGAAAAGAATTGGATGTACACATACACTGTACATCTGAGTTTTAGGAGGATAGAGTTTTAAAACTTACTTAGGTTGAACTGATGGAAATTAATTTTTCTTTTAAAATAATTTTTAGTTACCCACAATAACAACCCATTTGAGTCCTAAGCTGTACAGTATGTTAAAATTTTCCAAATTACATAATACAAAGAAAGCTAGGGAAAAAAGAGATATACATACCATAAGCTTTTGCCCTGGTTCAGGGCAGAAAATAACAAAATCTGCTTCAATGTTAAGATGAATGTATCCTTGGTCATCATAAATATCTCCCAGTTCACCCACTACTTTGATGTTATCATATGCAACAGGGACACCTAATAGGCTGTTTAAAAATAAAAAAGAAAAAAAAATGGTATCTTTTATCCTCCTTTAAACTAGGCATTTTCATAGTGATTAGATATTCTAAGTCTAAAAAGTATACATGTCTTAAATATAACCACCCATGCCAGAAGCACTACAGCATATGATTAGTCTGTAATAAGTTCAGTAGTCCAATTTCACTAAAGGGTTCCGATATATTGGCTAAGTTAAAAATGATTAAGATAGGTACCTAGAAATGTCCAATTACACATGAGCAAAAAAGCTGACCCTTATTCCCTATTTGCAACTCATTTGGACTCTAGTCATGCTAGAATGGGAGGAAAAAAGAAGACTTGGCAAGAAAAAATGTTCTGTACTAGAAGGCATATAGCGAGAGAAGTATTAGGGTTAAAGCTGAAGCCCTTGAATATTAAAGCCATGACTTAATAGAGAAAAATCCCAAACTGCAACTGTTGCTAGTAAACGAAAATGTCAATACAATTATATCATTTATGGAGAACTGTCTCTGACACGTTGGTCTACACAGTTGTCCCCTAATCCAACAGAGGATTAGGGGACAACTATTATTGCAAACTGTTTATTTCCAAGTTCTTAAAATTATAATTACTAGGAAGGCAGACGTAGTGGCTTCGTTACCACACCTTGTTCACTACTTGTTCCAGAAAACTTCTCTGACTCCCTCAGGCAAGGCTGAAGACAGTCACCCCTCCTCTCTTCCTACAGGACTCCATGCAGGGCCCGATCACAGTTCTTAATCTCATTTTATTGAATCTATCTGTATATATGTTTGGATTCCACACAAGATGCTAAGGCCCTTGAGAGCAGAGAACATTTTTGTTGAACTCCATTAAATTTCTAGAAAAATTCACACAGAACAAGAGAAAGAATTTATCCCTAATGGCGGTTGTTTAAGTATCGCAGCCAATGGAAAGGAACTTTAATGACTGCTAAATTAGAAAATCCATAAACTCAGAGACTTGCTCTGGAAAGCACTCTCTTGACTTGTTAATTTCTGCATGTGGCTTTCCTAAGCAGGAACTATACCATCACTAAGGCGAATAAAGGGGCACAGAAAAAACGAAGTTAGAGAGAAAGAAGAAGGGACGTAGGGTAACATAATGCCATGTTAGACTGAAAAACAAAACTAAGACTTTTGTTTCCCCTAACCAACTATTTTAAAGAGTCTCAAGTGTGTGTGTGTGTGTGTGTGGTAGGAGGGTTAGTGGGAGGCAGATACTGCTGTTACCTAGGTGGCATTTGTGGGTACTAACCAAGGCTGTCACAATCACTGGCAAAGTCCAGAGATGGGAGGCATTCTGCCATGTGTGGGACAGTCCTATACAATGAAGAAATGTCCCTAGCTCTACACCACTTCTGAATGAGGGACAAACTGATTTATAAATAGCTGAGCATAGAATCTAACTTAAAAAAAGACAACATATTAACATAAAGTCATTTTTAATATGCATTAAAATTTCCAGGAATATAGCTACTATGTGAACTCGAGGACAGTTTGTTTTGTTTGGAACTTTACCAAGAATTATCCATTAATTCAGAAAAGCATTTCACCATTGGAGACACTGTGTTATCTGAGGTGTCAACTCAAAACCCCTCCATCAAACCATATTTGTAACTGACACATTCACAATGATTCCAGGAATAGGTGCTGGAGGCATCTAACTACTTCAGTCTTCCCAGGAAGTCATACTTGAGCATTTTACTTTACTGTATTAGAGCATTTTACAGATTTTTTTTTTTTGCAATTGTGTAGGTAGGTTCTATTATCTTTTAAGTTTCATTTCAGCACAGTAAAGAGTAGTTTCGTGTCAGTAAAGGTAGTACTGCAAACTATTATAAGAGGATTGGGTTCTGCAAGGTTTAGAACTGACTAGGGAAGGTGAACATAGAGCCTAAGCCCAAAAGGTTATGTGTTAATCCATTGGACCTTCGAGAAAGTGACTCACAGCATGAAACTTAGTAAGTCATCAGATATACAAAGACAAAAACACCTCAACGCTATGTATCTTTTCCTCTTCTACTTTTGTTTTTATGAAACCATCCTAAGTAGGTTTCAAGTCAGGGTGGTAGCCACACTTAAAATATTTAGAGAACAATTAAATCAAGTATAAGGGATGCTTAGATTGCACATTTAAAACTTCTCTAGAACTAGTGGGAGAAAACGTATGTGCTACCTTCAAATAATTCAAGAGCTGTCACATACAAGAGAAAAAAGTTCTTTTTCTTGATGGCTTCTCAAAGATATAACTTAGAAGTTATATAATGTGATTTTAGAAAATCACTAACTTTCTCTAAGTAGACTTTTCAAAATTGAAATGGGATATCTTTAAAAAAATTCTGTCGCTAGGGGAAAAAATGGTGGTAAGTTTGTCAAATGGGGGATGCTGCTGAGGTAACTAATATGAGAGCCATTCTCAATTCCTCCCTTTTCCTCATTTCTAAAACAGAGAAGCAAGTCCTCCTGACTCTACAGGATGGCTCCAGTCTGGAATGATAAACAACACATGATAAATGGCTGATTGGTATTACAATTCCTGCTACGTTCGATGTTTTGTTCCTCAGTAGTAATGCATAGTTTAATGTGTGGTGCCTGATTTGCACTGAATAAATGGGCATCTTTAGCACACCCCTGTTCAGAGTGCAACCTGCTCTGTGTGGCCACACTGTCCAATTCAGTTACAGAAATCATCATTCAATCCATTCTCAGCCTCTCTGGTATAATGGCTCCTACTGGAGAGGCTTTGGATGACTTTCTTCTAGCCTGTCAAGTAAAGGCATTAATTGGTTACAGAAAGTTGTAAAATACATCAAACAGTTGCCTTTCTTCCCAGATTTTATGACCACCTCGTATATCCTTGAATCTCCCAAAGCCATTCTCTTAGACAATAACGATCTCTTAACTGGTCGCCTGTCTAAAGTTTCACCCTCCTTAAATAATCATCTAATTTTACCAAATCAAAATCAGATTTGCAGTTTAAGAAACTAAACTGCAAAGTTAGATTATGTTACAGAGATCAGGAATACATACTACTCTCTCAAGACTGGAAGGTACTGTGCTAACCCTACTTAAGGGGGGGGGGGAGAACTGGTAAAGGCTGAAAGGGAGAGCAAAATGGCTATCCTCAGTTGTTCCCCACCCTTCACGCCTGCTCCATGTCTTTAACCCACTGCGCTCCTCTTCAACTGCACTTATCCTCCTCCTTCTGTCATAAACCTTATCGGTTATTTAGTACTTAAAATTCTCTGGTCAAAGTAGTCTATTTCGCATCTACTATCCATCAACTGTTTCTGCCACTTTTTGCCTGGAATGCCACCATCTCAAAGTAACCTCCTACTAAGTTGTCCTCAAAGGTCCTAAGATCAAATTCACCATTTCTTCTCTTATTATAATTTAGATATCTGATGAATGTTAACACTTTATTGTATTTGGCTTATATTTATACCTCTACTAGGGCTTAAAGTTCCTAAAGAACAGATCGTATGTTTTTCTTTTTTATACCCCAATCCCTAGTACGCAAAACAGACAGACGAGTGTGTGTTGGTGCTTGGAGGAAGCTGTACATTCTGGTGGATTCTTAACTTGTGTAGGGTTCACGATCCCTTGAGAAAGTGGTGAAAGCTTTGGATACTCTGCTCAAGAAAAGTGGCATATGAAAGTCCTGCAATTTTACAGGGCTCATGAAATTCCTAAAGGGTAACAACAAATCTTTAGGAAATCTACTCATCCTAATTTTAGAACCCCGTTGCCGTTGAGCCAAAGTAGTCAGAGCAGTATTAAGGTGATCTGCCCCCTCCCCTTGACCCTTGTAGTTCTGAAAGTTTTCAAGGTTCTCGAATATCTTAATTTAAATGCACCAGGTTTTTTCACTCTCAAAAGCAATAGACAGACCAATTAGACTAAATAAAGTGTCTGTTCTTAAAAGCAAAACAAAACAAAATTAATTATACTTCTCTCATCCCTGATCAAGTCTAAGCGACGAGAACCCAGGGAAAGCACCAGGGCCAAAACAACAACGAAACCATCCTTCACGGTTTACAAATAAAACTTGCACTAATGCATTATGTGCAATCAGAATGAGAATCTACTTAAGCACCGCATTCCAGACTTTGACTGCCGAATGAGAAAACATAAAGAACTGGGCCTAACTGGTCTCCAGACTTCTGGTCTAGTCTTTCCCCTACACCCGGGTTCTAGAGCGAGCTTCTCCACCCCTTCCTCTGACACAACTCACGTCACCTTTACGTTTTCTGTCCGACCTATGAAAGAAACCCTAGACGAATCTTGACCAGGGAAGTATTGGCCTTTTGCAGCGGATAGCGGCTCCCGGACGCCACGGGGCTAAGCTAATGGTGGCCGGTACGACCTTTCCCATGCGCCCTTTTTCTCTTGCGCCATCAGCACGTCCACCCGCTGCCCTCTCGGCGAAGGAAAAGGCGAAAAGACTGGTACCTTTCGGAATAGCGCAGGAGCTCCGCATCGAGCTGTTCTCGGATACCGGTGCGTTTCCTGTTAAGGTAGCGCGGGGACAGTGCGATGTGCCTCCGATGCGGCCCCACCACCAGGCAGGAGTAGGGGCTATTCACCAGTGCACAAGCGGCAGCGTAGGTCGGCAGCTTCAGGCAAGGAAGGGCGCCCGACGGTCCCCCCACCAGCCCCTCGGAGGCCGCCTTCGGCCGCGGAACCCCCAAACCACCCGCAGCCATGCGGCTGGTCCGGTTTCCCGCTGCGCGCACCAGTGACGCAATCCTAGCCGCCTATTTGCGGACGCGCCCTTTATACGTCATCCGGCAACTACGCGTCCCCTAGGCAATTTCTTCCTCGCGCTGCATTACGCAATTCTGACCAGCAGAGGGCAACCGCTTTGGGTCTAAGTGAGGAAACAGGGTCTAAACAAAAACTCCAAGAGCTGGGAGCCTGTGGTTCGACAGCATGCTCGAAGGTCAACCACCTCTTAGTCTCGAAAAGCCAGGCGGACCTATGTGTTCGCCAACGCCGTCATTGGATTTAGTATGTAGATTTAATAGGGATTCACACTGATCATTTCCAGGAGTAAGTTGGTTTGGTAGATTTTACAAGCTTGGACTTAACGATCATAAATGTAAAAAAATATTTAAGAAATATATAATCTAAAGGGAACCCAATTCTAAAAAGCAGCGCAAATGTCTCAAATGCAACACATCTGAAAACGAACCCATCATCTCTCCAGCCCGTCGTCTCTCCTCTGTGAAATCGTACCACCACCGCTCTCCGAATGGCTCAGTACAGCTGTCAAACTCGGGCCTCTCTTGTACCCCCAAACAGCAAATCAGCCCCAAGACCTGTGGGGCCAAAGCCAAAACATCACTCTCTTCTGACAGTTCTCTCGGTCCTTGCCTCTCAAGGCCTAATGGTTAAGAGGACGCTGGAGCAGCCAGATTTTCTCTGAAACACAAATATAACCATGATTTGCCCTTTAAAGTCCCCACATAAGTGCCACATTTTCTTAAGCATAATACAAGCTCCTTAATATGGCTCTTAAGTTTCAGGGCCGTTTTATGGTCTGCCCCCCAGTGGTTTCATTCATCACACTTTACGTTATCTGCTAGCCATCACCCATGCTCCTTGATCCACTTTCAGCTCTCGCTCTCTCTCCCTTTCTCTTCAATCTTACGCTGTTCCTTATACCCAGGAATGTGATAGCTTCTCCCACATGGGAAAATTCTACTTATGTATCAAATTTTAGCTTAGATTTTACATTCTCTTCCTCTGCAGTTTACCACCATCCTACCCCTCTTCCTCAATTTAAGGATTAGTTAGTTCCCCTAGTTTTGTAAACTACCACCATCAACTACTATTTTAATGTTAATTTATATTAATTGCCTTTTGTCTAACAGATCCATCACTAGACTCCAAGCTCCCTAAGTCAGGGACTTTGTTGCCTTGTTCACCACTGTAACCCACTGTATTACTCAAAAAAATAAAAAAATTTAAAAAAAGCATTTTAAATGAAGGAAATAGAAAAAGAAAGAGGAAGAAAAAAGTAGAGCTCACGGTCTGAGGAAATGGGATCTAAACGAAACATAAATGGGTAACGAGGATAAGTGCCAAAGAGAATTGCATAGCAATTGGTGGTCTGAGTACTAACACTCCCCGCTCCCCTAGGTATGGTAAAAAAAGCCTCTAACCTCTCTCGAAAACTGTTTTCTCACTTGCAAAATAGGGATAATACTTGCCCTGCCTACTATAGAGATGATAGGAGGTTCAAATCAGATAAGTAAAAAGCATTTTCTTTAGTATTCTTTGACTTCAAATTCAGCATGAGATGATAATGGGATGAAACTGCTCTCAAAACCCAATGGTAAACATATTAAGTTAATAATGGGAAATGTAATAACATTTCGTTGCAAAGTCCTGCAACGGCCCTGTGCAGGACCCCTTGTTCAGTGATCTCAGCCTTGGCTAAACATTAAAATCACCCGAGGAATTTTAAAATCTCTCAATGCCTAGAAGGCACTCCAAACCAATTAAATAAAAACCCTTCTTGCAGTCAGGATGCATCTAGGTTGCCTGGGGATGATTTGAATAAAAATAGTTTTTCCAAAAGCAATTCAGTAAACGAACAAGAAAAATAAGCTAGACATCAGGACAATTCAGTCAAAACAAAACTTACCTGAAATTAATTATCCCAATAATGATTTTCTACAAATTTTAAATATGGAGTCATTTTGTAACCCTTTATGTTTTTCATAAGCAATTTAGAGATTTGCCTGTTTGATTTTGAAAACTGTTTTCGACATTTTAGTTTTTAAAATTCCGGCCTGCTTGTTAGTCACTATCCACACTCTGCCTGATTTGGAGGAGTGAAAAGTTGATTCAGCCTACATGTAAATATTCACCATTTTGGAGCTACTTTATCAAATAAACTTTTTCCATCTACCACGCAGGAAAGAGGAAAATGGAAGTACAATGAGACCCCTCCTACCTCCCATCTCACACAGGTACACAAAGTTTAGTTCATCAAGGACCTATGGTTGGACCACACTTTCTTTAAAGTGCCATATGAAGTCAGGCATTGGTGGTCCCTATCTCATGGAAAGGCTTGTCAAACCAAAAGCAAGTATGTTCTAAGAAAATTCCCTTTCAACAAGGAGAAGAGGTTATAAAAATCTTTGACCCTATATCCCCTGAGCCCAGAGAAAAATGTTCCTGCAACTCTCTGTATTTTTTTTCCCGTTGCTTCTCCTTCTCCAACACGCTTGCACACATATGCGTGTCATATTATTTTAGTGCATTTTTGTTCCTCACCAGCAAAGAGTCTCTGGAACAATGTAAATGTGCAAAAATTGGTGGTTTGCTGTGATAAACTATATAGTAGTTTGTACCGTATGCTCTTATTATTATAGGATATATGCACACTTATATGATTAGAAAACAATTTGTATATATAAATACCATGTAATTAAATTAGTTATCTCATAAGGGTGGGTTTGTGGCTTTTTTTACTTGTTCGAATTTTCATATATTAATGAGTGTGTTGTTTTATAATAAAAAAAATCAGAAACAATTAGTGAAATGATCCCTACTGTTGAAGAATTTGAAGAGTTTGGTTGTTATAAGAAATCCTCTATTTTTAGATGGTTTAATATAGTGCAAGGTGAAGATCCTGGGTGGTAAACTTCTCATTGTTTGAGACTGAATCCTGGCTCTGCCACTTACTAGATGTGCGACATTAGGCAAATTAAAAAAAAAAAAAACTGAAATTATTAGAGTGGACTTTAATGAAGAAATGAAATTAGAAAATTTGAACTATGTGTAAAGGTTTAAATAAAAGTTTCATACAAAGGCATTCCAAGTAAAAATGCCATCCATCACACCAGTTGACATTTGCTGCTTAACAAAGCATCTCCAAATTTAGTGGCTTTAATTAACCACATTAGCTCAGAATTCTGTGGGTACAAATTTGGGTTGGGCTCAGCTGGACTCACGTGTACATCCGTGATCAGATGTGGCTCCGTGTGTCTCATCCTCCAGCAGGTTAGAGTGGGCTTGCCTTCCTGGCAGCCGTGCAGATTTCTGAGGGAGAAAGGATAGTGCACAAGTGCACACACACTCACGACCGCTTGCCTAGATTCTGGAATTTACAATCCAATGCATGGAACGCTTCTAATCTCAAGTACTATGTCCTTTGCCTAAGAGAGCATCAGGGCCTACTCTGACATATACCAGTTGTATATGGGAAGTTCCTAAAAATGCCCACCCTGGATAAAGAGTAATTAAATACTAGTACTAACAGGAAGGGTTTCATCACCTTTATGGGTCAATTTTATTAAATTGGTAAAATGAGTGATGATTTCATCAACCTCACAAACACCATCATGATCATCATCATCATAGCTAAGCTTTATTACAACCCTGCTTTATACAAATCACCAACACAGAATCTTTATGCATTTATTACATTTATTATATATATTTATCATCATTTATAAAGTATATTTACATATGAGGAGACTAGGTCCTAGGGAAGATTTGAAAATGTCAGCCCCATGATGCTGGCAATACTATCTGTATTGTTAACAGCCACAAGCCTAGTGCCTAGCACATATTTCTTGAGTGAATTAATGGCTTGCCCAAGAACACATAGCTGTTAATCACTCAAGAAATCTAACCCGGGGAGACTCATTCCACAGCTCATGCTCAGAATTGCTAAAAATCGTCATGTTTCTTATATGCATGACCAAAGCTGATAAAGGAAGAAATTCTAAGAGTCAGGAAAATGGGTGCCTTATTTCATTTAGCCTCTGCCTAAAAAACATTGAAGTGGGAATCAGACCAAACTGGTACATACTACCATTTTAACAGACTTGGGAAGAATTCAAAAAAGCAACGTTTTTGGCTGAAGTGTAAGCACAAGCAGTCTTGCAAAAAAGAATTCAGACAATATGGTATGGCTTATAGGAGCCAGGTATTAGAGTCAGGTTGTCTGGGTGTCACTCTTGGTACCGTCACCTTGGACAATTTGCCCAGTCTTTAAACTTCAACTTCATAATCTGTAGTGCAGAGGTGCGATAATATGGAGAAGGTGTGAGAGTTAAAGATATAATGACAATTTAATAACTAAGCACAGTGACTGGCCTGTACTAAATGCTTAATAATATATTCTTTTTAGAGTCCATGACTGACACTTTAGTTGTAATATACTTGATTGACCTAATGAAGGCTGTAAAGCTGAACTTGGAGCAGGAGCATACAACCTTCTTGAATGAATTGCGAAGTAGAGCCCTGGACTTAAGAGGAAAATTTGGATAAGAGCATGAATAAAAACTGGAGAATGTCTTGGCCTCACCTCTGGGAATGATTCTTTTGTTTTGATGTTATTAGCATGTTTAATTTCAGATCCTCTTCCATGTACTGCCATTATAAGCCATCTATGTATGTAAACATTGGATTCAGCTTAAAACAAATTAAATATTTCATTATAGTATCCTCTTAAAATGTTTTATTGATAAAATTCACTCTAGATGTGAACAAGGTATACTGAGATACAAATACGCAATTTCATTTGTCAGTAGGAATAAAAACAGATTCAATGCAAGCCAGTTTTCTTTAAATAAATGTGTTTAGTTTAGAACATCGTTGCCTTTCAGTAGTTCAGAAAATTGCGAAATGCAGTGCTTCTAGGGAAAATATTTGTTTAAAATTTGCCTAATGTGTTTTGGAAACAAAGAAATAAAAAACAAAAATCTGAACACAGTATCTATCCA